AAAAAACTAAGAATAATTGATAAAGAGAGAAAAGTGGAAACTGGAAGATTTCCATCTCTAAGTCAGGCTTCTATTCACACATGCTACCTGTGACAAACCAGGCTCTTTATCTGAGGCATGGCTGCCGTTGTAAGATAACACACACGACTTGCCATAGCAACAATTTAGTTTTGGAAGGGTGGGTTAAATTCTAAAGTTTGTATGTTCTTGGAACAAATTTTTGAATATGGATCACAGCTGATTTCAATGTCAATTTGTTTTGTGCTTTTGGTTCAATGGGTGAGCTTCATAAAGGAAAAGATTTGAGTGTAGAGAAATAGTAAAGAGCCAGACAACTTGCTTTAATACAGAGTGAAAGAACAGCTTTGAGAAGTAAGAAAGAGAATCAGAATCTTAATACCTAAGATACGTTTCTGCACTTTTAGGTATGGAAATTATTAAGAAAAGAGGCAGAAAAGAAAAAATAATTTTGAAGCTGGATTTTTCTGTGTAGTATTATTTCAGGTTACATTTTGTTTGATGACTTTCTGCCTCTACATATTTCTCTGCATTCATCCCTCTTCTGTTAATAGCAGTATCGTACCAGGCATCTGTAATTTGTCTTATGTTATGTTGTCTATTGATCATATCATAGTTTTTCAGAAAAAAACCCATATCTGCTTCATGTTTCATGATCTAAAAAACTCTATAATAATAATTTTTAAACTTAGTTTCTGAATCTTTGGTTCTTTTCCAATGAGGATTCACCAATGTCTAAATAGCTGTATGCATGCATACAACCTTGAGGACAGATTATTCAGGTATTTTGTATTCTCTGATAAAGTGAAGTCTAATTCATTCCTGTAGAGGCAGAAGTCCATCCTATAACAAGGGGAAAACCTTCAAGACAGATACTCAGCTACAACTATTATGTACTTAACATTATTAGAGCAGCATAAGGGATCAGGAGTCATTTTCCTTTATATAAATATAAAAGAGTCATTTTCCTTTCCTGGAAAACACTATAATACTGTCTTGAAATTCCTCTAAGCAGTGCTGCCTATGAATAACTATCCCAAGGAGCAAATCAGATATCCTAGTTCATGAGAGAGTTGTTTGGGAAATATTTCAATAAATACATATAATTTAATTATTATTTTGTTTTGTAGCTTACATAAACTCGACAAAATATTACAGGTAGACAAATTACAAATTTTGGTGGTTTTATAAACACTTAGTTATAAACATTTAGTAAACAGTTATAAACATTTTATAAACATTTAGTTACTGGGTTTGGTCCTGATTCCTCTTTTTTCCCCATGTTGTGACATTGTTAGAATCCTTTTGTGCTTTTTACTTCTCTTTTCCTGAAGTTTAATAATTGTAAAATGATAAAAATAAGGTGGGATGACAAACAAATTTTTAAATTCTGTTTGAAATTCTGACTTACGTCTTTGTAAAGATCTCTTTTCCCAACTGTCTTGAGACTATGCAAGTGAAATACTTCATCAACCATTCAGAAATACTGGAAACATCTTATTTTCCCAATAAACAGTTTAAACTTAAGGACTTCACAGACAGCCCGTCAACAAGAACTACAATACATTACAGAAACTTCATTGCTTCCAAGGTAGGCTAGAGTGCCATTTCACGAGTAATGAATGATGCTTTAAGATATCAGGCAGATACCCTATAGAGACTGAGATTATGCCACAAAATACAGAAAGTCTTCCAGGAAGCAAATGAATAAGATTTGCTAAGGGAGCATAGAATAAAACCCATTAAAACCCATTAAAGGAACCCAAACTATAGGTAGAAGGTAAGGAAGGATTGATTTTTTTTGTAGCTGTAAAGGCAACAGAATGCTATTTATTAATTAAAAGTACATTTTATGTATTGTGATGTGATAAACTGTTGACTGTTTAGGTGAATTACTTCAGAAATGCACTGAAATGCACCTAAGGCTATTAACACTGATAAATTATGCACTACTACTTTTTAAATTTCTGAAACAGTCTTCACAAGTACGCCCAAATCTATTTTCAGTTTTAAGCAGCAGTTTTGAGTAATCATATTCAACATTTAACTACTGCCACTAAAAGCTTCCTAGTCAGAAAAAAACCCAAGCTTTCACAAATAGTTTTAACTCTCTTATTTTCCCCTGTTTTCCTGTTAAGTATATATATATACATGTGAAACACAAAGTTTTCTATTTTGACAGAATCTGATTAAAAGAAGTGACATACTCTTAACTATATATTCCCTTGACTTTATATTCTCTTTAACTTGGGAGTGCTAAAACAAGTAACCTCCACCTGAAAGAAATGTTTGAAATATGAAAATAACATTTCTTGGGTATAAATAAACAAAAAGAGAAATCTGAAGGTGCATCTATATAAATAAATCTACATATTCTCACACACCAAAGTTCTGGGAAAATGTATTAATCTCTGGGGGTTTTTTATTCTAGGATACTAACTATCTAGGATAAATCAGCTATAGGTGAAAAAAACTAAATATTTTTCATAGATGTGTATCTTTGGACATACAATGTTTTAAGTTTAATACCCATATTTTGTATATATATATATATATATATATATACATATATATATATATATACACACATATATACATATATATAGTGTCTATATTCTGATATAGACATGTATTCTGTGTACTTACAAAAGAGTTTATATTTGAAAATCAGGCTTCTATCCAGTACCAACTTAGAAAATTCAACACTATATTTGTCATCTTCTATAAAATTGAATGTGTGATTATGGTTATATGGGAGTGAGTGTGCATTGTGTGTGGATCTGTCTTGAAAAACAGGCCTTTTTTGTCACTCTCAGATGGTGGTGATAGAGGGAGAACAATACCTTTATCTCACTATAATTTCTAAAGTCATTTAAAGGGTTCATTGTTTCAAATCAAAGAGCTATTCATAAGTTCCAATAAAATGCAATCCATCACAATTTTACATGAGCAGAAGCTTTCAGCTTATGCATATTTTGTCAGGAAGGCAATTTAAAGCTTATAAACACAAATCACTTCTTTGGTTTTTAACCACAAAACATTTACACAGTACTGACATACCACCTATAATACCTCAGTACAAAGCCAAGAAGTAGAGCAGGCAGGACCAGGAAGCAAGAACCTGGAGACAGCATTTTATGTTAAGAGTAGAATAGATGCTAGGGCATCAATTCAGGAATTCTCAAAAGACTGAGAGAGAAAAGGATGTTTGCCTATGCTTATATCCCTTATCAGAGTGTATATGAGATAATAATTAAAATAAATAAAATACATATCTGAAGCAGGTTTCTATATCCAGGAAGAAGGATTCTGGAATAATTTATTTGCTCTTTTTTTTTCCCCATATATTTGATGATTATGCTTGTGAACTAGTATGTACATTGACCAGATGCATAATGGCTGTGGTACCATAGCATCTCTGATCAGTAACTGATTTGGCTCAGTCTGCTAAAAAAACTTTGATGCATAAGAGTGAATCACTCTTAGAAAAAAATGTGAAGAAATATTATGTATTCTATTTCACTGGAGGAGAAGTGAAGCTCACAGATGCTCTACTGTTTCCCAAGCCTACAATCATTTAAGTGGCTTACTCAAAGAGCTGGAATCAAACATTTCTGTCCTAGTCTGTCTTAATGTGCAAACTTTACTCTATTTTTATTTAGTATTTCCTATTCTGGGAATCTTGAAAGTACAGTGCAGTGCAGAAAGTACAGTGCAGATCTTCCTAGGGAACTGGTATTCATAGACTCATGAATCATAAGATAATCTTTGTTGGATGAGAGATCTGTAGGTCATCTTGTTCAATCATCTGTCCAAATCAAGACTTATTCAGAAGCAAGACCAGATTAAATAGGGCATAGTCCAGTCAAATTTTGAAAGCTTTGGTGAAAGTCCACAGCCTTTCTTGACAGCTTGTTCACCATTCTCATTGTGAAGACCCTTAAGTCCCTTTTCAAGGTCCCATGATGCAACTTTTCATCTTGGATCTTGGAGAAGAGGTACCTATGTTTGTCCAATAACCACCCGTTATGTACTTAAAGACAGAAAATTATCACCTTTTAGCCTTCTTTTTGGAGGTTTAAGTAAGTACATTCCTTCAGGGCGCTGTATGCTCCAGCTCCTGTCTATCCCAGCAACCTTCTCTGGCTTTGCTCCAATTTATCAGTACATCTCTTACAGAGGGGAGCCTGACATTGTGGCACTACAGATAAAAGTGGGAATAAACACTTCCCGTGACCTGCTGACCATGCTCTTGTAGCCTGTTGGAACTCAAAATGTCCCTCAGGCATTTTTGGAGGTTCTAGGCTCTGGTTAGAAGTATTTGAGACTTTGGCAAGCAGCTGAAAACAGCTGTAATTTTGAGTTTGAGCCATGGAACGATTTACTAACTTTGCAGGTAGAACAAGAAGTCACAAAAGCTTAGATATTGTAGTAGAAGTAGTTACAAAGTAGAGGGAAGAATTTTTTAGTAGTGTACAAGGGGGTTTTAACACATGTACAGGGGGGTTTTTACTTTATACATGAGGGTCAGAGGTTTTAAGATAGAGGAATGTAGGCCAGTCCCGTTTCTCCTCTTTCTTCTTCCTTACCTCCATGTTCTTGATGATGTTAGCACTTATGGATTAGTTTAGAATAGAAAAGCACCATTTAATATAAGTAGTAAGTATTGGAAAAAAACGGTAAACATGTATCACGTAATGTATCATATAAAAGCAGCAGCCCTGGGCGGGGAGAAAGAGAAGAAGAAGACACCAGGCAGTGAGGGTGTCAGGGGTGTGTGTGCCTCTGCCTGAGCTGCTGACCAAACCACAGCAGCCCAAGAAGACAATCTTTTAGATAGCTTACAATAAACTGCCTTGAGACCGAACAACAAGAGGCTGCAGAGTTTTCTTTGGAAGCACAGGTTGGAGGAGAGACTTTACCACCACACGGAACCCCTGAACCAGGCTGGGGCTCCAACAGTAGCCCAGTATGGGCTTTACCTTTGGCTGTGCACACGTGGCTCCTTCGACTTGCTGTGCACCAGAATCCTGGTGTCCTTCCGTGCAGAGCTGTTTCCAGACAGCTGGACTCCAACTCACACAGATGCAAAAACAGCACTTCCCCCTAAAAAAACATACAATCATTTGTATTTTGGGAGAAAGAAGCTCTCAATACCACCACAACATGGGAATGCAGTGTAACAATTGCTAAATATCCTGTGTTTCCCACTAAGATTTAAGGAGGATTTCAGGTCCCAGACTTTTAGCTGTTAAAAAGAAATCAAGTGATTTATAGTAAACAAAAAGCACTTTGTAAAATAAAAGTGGAGAACTTGCTACTCATTGTAATGCACACTCGTATATTGTTTAGCAACATCATTGTTTCATTCCAAATAATCACAGGTCAGCAAATGACAAATTTACTGTTATCTATCAATTGATTCTGTTACAATGTCCCTGAGGTTTATAACTCCCACACTGGATCTTTACCCCTTTCCTAATGTTAAACTATTATCCTCTCTCCCCATTTTTGCTCTTTGATTTTAAATTTTAAAAAAGGAAATATTTTAGGCCCATTTACTTTCAGCATATCAAAAGGCTGCATATTTATTTTGGAACTGTTAGCTGCTACTGAGTTGTTTGCATGATAGAATCATGATCCAACATGAATATTTTGTGTTATAAAGCATATTAAGGAGCCAACTAAAAATCAACAGGAATGGTTATTCTAAAATCTTTTTCTCATTTGATGCAAGCAGGTTGTTTCAAAAATACATGTCTTCTTTTCTGTGCACACACTGCCTACAAAAGTGGTGGTGGCAGTTGGGTTGTTTTTAAAACACATACAACTCCAACCTTTCTTAATCTAATTTAAATTTTAAAATGTTTTCTGTTTCAATTCAATTTATTCTGCTCCTGCCATGGATAAGTGGGAGAAGAATGTTTAAAATAATAATAATTCTTTCCTCTTTCAGACAGCCAAGCATAGAAGAGAATAGTTCAGAGTAGTTGGGAGAACAAAGAAATCAGGCCTGGATTCACTTTGGTTAAAGCAGTGTCACATACAGAATCAGTATATTCCGAGTAGAACTTTTGGAACAAGCACACATGGCCTTAAATAAATACAGGAAAGAAAAGTAGTGACAGAAAATCAAGCTACTTCTAAGTTGCAGAACATAGATACAGAGGAAGGAGATGAAGAGACAGAGCCACTACTGCTGGAACAGAGACTTGTTGCCATGGGAGCGAGGATAAGGAAAGCTGGTACCCTGGAGGCAGTGACTGGGGACAAGAGCAAAAAGGAGAGGGATAAGAACTTGGAACACTGCATATACAGGGAACAGACTCACACACACATCCCTCTGTATTTTAGAAAGCCCAGGCTGCCTTATTTCCAACCCACATAATCACATGCGTTATGAGGCCAAGGCCAAAAAGACAAAATTTTGCAAGGAGAATATTAAGTACCTGTTACAGAAGTAGTCTGTTTTTTTTTTTTCTGAGCGGTCTGGTAGCTCTCTCTTCCCTTTGAGCTCATTTTAAAATACTTATGGTATTGACATACAAGGTGAATATCGATGCTTAGTCTCATATCTTCTGGATCACTAAGGAAAAGACAAAGACATTTATCCATGGAAACAGAAGATTCACAGTTTCTTCCCCAAGCAAGTAATACATTTTCTCATAGGAGTGCCACGACAATACTGTGAGGATATGGCTTAAACAGAAAGATAATTTTTAAAAACCTCGCTAAATATTTTTACTGATATTTTTCAGTAAAATACAGCACAAAAATTCAAGTAATATTCTCATGTCATGGGACATTACCATGCTCCAACAAGGATAAAATTGCTATAGAATTTGACTACAGTATTTTTAGTTTTGAAGTAAATTACTTTAAATTAGGTTGTAATTTCCTGTCTAAAAATAATGTGTTTCAATTTCCATTTTCCCAAACAGCAGGCATTTTATATGGAAAAGGTCAGCAAAGAAACTTTTCTCCTTTGCCTTTTCTGGGCACAGAGGGTAAAAATGGCTAATTTTTTTTTTTTTTTGCATGTTTACATATCAAACTTTAAACCCCCTGTCCCATGGTTTACCTGCATGTTTTTATTCTCTTTCCTCTCAAGTCTCCCTTGTTTTCATGTTCTTTTATTCTACAGTATGAGCTGATTGTTCAAACTCTGTGACCAAAACTCTCACTTTGTAACATTTTTTTTGAAAGTGTATAGTAATAAAAACAAGCAGGAGTTGTCAGTGCAGCAAAAAAAATAAAACTGTCTGTTATATGCAAAGTACATCTTTAATGATGTTTAAAAAGGAGATAAACATCTCTATGGGAATTCTTAAAACACTTATCTCTTAGGCCCTTATTTAGTTTTGCAAGTCTTTGTTGTTTAACAAGCTGGAGAAATGGGTCATCTAATGTTATATTAATCAGTAAATTAATATTTTAATTTGATTTTCTTTATAGTTGAAATGCTTGCGGCATCTCCAGTGTTTTCTCTCTCTGTGCGCTGATGTTAAGCAGTATCATTATCATACTGTACCTTGGGGTTGTGAGATAACAGGGTCCAGTGATAGCTCTATTCTTAGGAGAGTGGGAGGTTTATGATGACACTTCTTCATTTTAAATGGCACATGGAGGCTCTCGTGCACGAAAGGTCTTACAGCTGAGTCATAGGCTTTTCTACATTGGGCTTTTCAGTTCATATACTTGAAATCACACACTTTCATGTCTGAGCAGGTGATACATTTTGCCAATTTTTTTATAAGATCTTTACAGTTTGCTGAAGTAAAAATCTCAATTATTTGGTTTTTCATAACTAGTCCTGTTTTGAAAATTTTTGATAAGTTGCAAGAGATATGACTATCAATAGATGAAAAGAAAAGAAAACAAAAATTAATTATTTTTATTTAAAGGTTAAGTTACAGTTAAATCTATTTTTTTTTTCAAATATTCAGTCAGTCAAATACAGAAGACTTTTTGACACAAGAAGAGGCACAAACTTTTATTTAACATTATCAGCTCTAATTACCCTTCTGAAATGTGCTTGGAAATTCAGAATTTTGATTAGATCAGGCAAGATAGTCCCTGGCCCTTGTGCATCTTTACAAGAGCTGACAAAGAAAGCTTTCTCCTTTTTGCTGTCTTATGCATGACCTTTAAACAGGTCAAAATGGTGCTAAGATGGAAATGGTTCACAGGTTACTGTTAGGTGAGTACAAAGGAAGTGACAGTCTTTTTCCTTTTACCTCCTTAGTCACAATCTGACCTTCTCACCTTCTTTTTTCCCTCCAGACTCCATAATTGAGGATATTTACTACATCAAAGTTCCCATGCCTAGTTCAGGGCCCCTCCCTCTGTTACAAATACACAAATCACACATCCTAGTGCATGCTCGCTCTGGTCCAATGGTAAGTTACATGTCTGAGTGAAAATATAGGCTTGGTTGATATCCTCACATACCAAGGTCAAAGCAAATCACATTCACACATTCCATATCACACTTGGTTTGCTGGCCATACCTCAGCAGATGCACCATAACCATATATGACTGTAAAATGGTCAATACTTTATTGTTTCTTGAGCTTCACTGGCTTTGTAACACAGTCATTCACAAAAATGCATCCAAATGCAGGTTCCAGTTATGCTTGCAATTGGACAAGTGCAAAATTGGCTCAGGAGGCATGTAGGCATGGTGCCATTTTCCTTCTCTACCTCTCTCTTTTTTTTTCCTTTTTCTTTTTTTCTTTTATTTTTCAAATAATTTATTAATGTGAAATGACATTTTAAACTTTGCATAGCACAGGATTCTGGGGACTGAGTCATGTCTGGCAATCCTTACTCTCAGTCAGAAGCTATTTTTCCCTGTCTCAGAATAGTGGTACCAGCTTTTCAAAAGATAAATCTGCCTGGATTGAGTCAACCTCGAGTCCAGAAATGTTGTGTGGGCCGTTGGCTGGATGAATGCACCAGAATGTTTTGAAGTTAAAATAAATGGAAGAATCTAAATGAACGTGCTTATTATTTTAGCATAATAACACAGTTAATAGATAATCTTACATTATGAGATCCATGAAAGTTTTTGTGATGGATCATTGAAAACATTCAGGAATATTCATATTGCTTTTGATTGGTACTAGTTTTCCTTGAGGAAAGTACTCACTCATTTTTTACAAAAGCCTATAAATAGCCTGAATTAGTTTTGAATTAGAATGAAGTTCTGAGTCTTATTCAATGTCAATATCCTTTTGAATTCAAGAGTAGGCTTACCTCAGTTTTAATATATAGGACTTTTCTAAAAGTATGAAACTTCAGAGGTGTTTGGCTTCATTGTGAACACTTCACACCTCTCCAGCTATCATGTTATTAAAGTCAGCAATTGCCAGTGTCAACAGAATGAGTTTGTTACACATCACTGAATGTTCAGGGACAGGTTTGACGCCCTCTATGATTTCTTGAGACTTCACACAAAACAACATCTGTCTTCGAAAAGAGTTTCTTCAGCTCAAGAAGCAGGAAGGCAATACTATATAAGCAGGAGCAGCAGAGATGTCTTAAAAAAGTGGGTGCTCTAGAAGTGAGCATGCAGTGTAAAAAGAGACAGTCTACTTAAATTAAATCAAGTAACCTAAGGGATCTGGCTACTCTCCCATTTTTACAACACATGCAAAAAACAAGTTAGGAAGAAGTTTCTTCCTTTAGCAACTTAAAAAATAAATTGAAATTCCAATTCTTTTGTCCCAAAAGCAAAACAATATTTTCTCTCTCTATTGATTATCAGTCCACTTTGGTTGAAAACGGTCCTGACTAAGATCAAAATTGCTTTGAAAAGATGACTTTAAACCTGATAAAGTACCAGCAGCACTGCACTATGCTATCAGATGGGTATTTTTGGAAAATGAAAGTAAATCAATATTAATAATATAAACCAGAAATTGATTGATTTTGCCATTAAAATATGTAATGGTGAAAGAGCCCATATCTAATTATTTCTGTTAAAGTCTGTAAGTAACATATTAATTAAACTGGATACATGAAAATATCTGAAGACATTTGTAAGACTTACTTAGGTCAACCAATTTTTAAAAGCAAAAGTTCTGCCATTAATAAACTGCAGAAAGATCAGAGCTGTTAAGCAATGAGGATGAAAGTCACATGAAAGGATGACTATGAGAAATTTGGAAAAAAAATAATTTGCAGTCTCCATCACTCTCTGTCTCTTACAGTCTAATAAGTTAACTTGTACTGACTGGTAAGAGAGGCAATAAAAACTGGTAATTCTTTAAATGACACTAATTCCAGGATGTATGCAAAGCCTTACCAATGCCTTAGCATCTATCAAGGACATATTAAATAACTCAAGATAGTGGATTAATATTGTGTAACCATCTTCAGAAATACTAAACCATCCATTCCAACATCCTTACTAGCATTGATCATGAGCCAATGAGTCAGTACTTTATGTTCATTTCCTTTCATTTGCTTTATTTTACACTGGGGAATATTTGTACTACATTCCTGTTTCACATCAAATACACCTGAAAGTTCTTACCTGCCTTAATGCAACAGTAACTTTGGTATCCAGTTATTGTCTTTGATAACTATGCTCATACCCCACTCCACCTAAGAGAGAAGCGAAAATAGCAAAATATGGGGATAAAATGAAAAGGAAAATTAAGACCCAAAAGGCCAGTGAACTGATAACAAAACCAACATAGGAACAACAAATTGGTAAATTTGGAAATTAACATCTAATGTATGTCAATAAAGCTCTAATGATGGCTTTAAAAAAGTTAACAAAAGCACCACTAACAAAATGAGGAATTAGAAAGCACATTAGAGCAATCAGTAAATCATTTTGAAAAATAATCAAAATCACTATACAGAACTGAAAACCACTAAGTCAATCCTTATTGTCAAGCCTAATGTGATCCAATGTACTGTAGTGAGGGAATAGGAAGGAAGTGTCTACACCACATGCTGAATTAAAGAGAATCAACCAGCCATTTACTTTCATTTATTTAGTAACCTTCGTGATGAGATCATCAAATATATTGTCTCCTCAGGAATCATAGAAGGCTGGTATCTTGCTCTCTTTCTTCCATCCCCCCCTTTCCAACCTGATTTTTCCATCTGACTACTTGACCACTTAAATGCATGGGATTTTTTGGGGGGAAAGTTTTTTTTTATTTCTTACCAGAAGGAATACTGAGATATTATGCTAACAGATTAAGTCACTCTGAAGAATTCACTAATGGAATTCTGAAGATTACAGTATCATATTTTATGGAGCAGTGCTCACAACAGGCTATGTTAACTGAGACCAATAGGAAATAATTTGACTGCAAATGGTAAGTAAAAGGAAAAATGTTTCCTGTTCCACAAAAGCAAAATCAAACAAGAAAAACATCTTGATGGCAACACATTACCTATAAATCTAGAGATCACTATATTAAACAGAGAGGACTTTCCTTGTCTCTTGTTTTAGTAGGCAGGTCATCTGCTGTCAGAGTAATTTGTTGTCAAAGGTGTTTCACATGAACTCTGCTCCTGCTTCTTCTGTCTCAGTCCCATGATAGGAACCTGAAACAGCCCTGCCTGTAGATATTTATTCTGTAGAACACCCAAAGGAGGTGTTCTACAACGGGTAAGACTTGTGTTTCCTAAGGCAGTTAGTATAACCAAAAAATCCATCTGAGTGAGTCCATGGCTCACTGTACACTGGCTTACAGGATCCCTTATCCACACTATCTATAAATGACTTGCTAAGTTTGCAAGAGCATACAGAAATCATTTCTTTGGTCACTGTAGCCCCTTAGTACAGTTCTCTGTCTAGGCAACACTGCCTCATTCTGGCTAGCTCTGAATTAATTTGAATATTGCTATAGAGCTTTGTAATGAGTCATATTTATATTTTGAAAGCAACAAATGAAGTAAGAGCTTTTAGCTTTGGAGTTTCCTTCACCTACTTCAAACATGCTGCAGTTCATGTGTATTCAAAAGCCCACAATTTTTCCCAGCTGTAAAAGCTGGTCCAGTAGTAGATACTAACACACTTTGCAAATCTTGACTCAACTATATCAGTACATTGTGGTAGGAATATTACTACTGAGAGTTTCCCTGCTCAGGTGTACACACAGTGTAAAAGTAAATTTGCACTTCATGTTACTTCTAATACTCATACTCCCACATAGTTTGAGATTATATATTCATAGAAATATGAAAGAGATATCTCAAAAAAGGGATTTTCTTTGAAGAACTGTGGTTACATTGTCTCTTTTTATAGGGTTAAACAGGTTCACCACCTGCTTCCATGATAACAGTAATAAAGTCTCAAATGAAAGTTATAGATTATAAAAAGATAATGAATATACTACTGGATATAATAATAATTATTATAATAATAATACCACCACTTAAAGATGCACCATAAAATTACTGAAAGGTTGCACCAAACAATCTGAAAAGGAAGGAAGACACAGGTTTAATTCTTTGTTGTTTCTTGGAATACCTCTAGTAGTTTATTTTTCACTCTTGAATAGCTTCTGCACAATTTATTGTAGTTTTACTTGGTAGTAGCGCTGATTGTATATCTCCAAAGAGTTGAATTTGGAAAAATAAACTGTTTAAAATATCAATCTTTTATCGAAGAAAGTAAAAATATTATTCTTTTAAGTGTAAAATTTCCAGTTAGTGATAGTTGAGGCATACATTATCTATAGCACTATATTACTTTTTTCTGTTCCATTTTTTCTGGTAAAGATTTTGAGTCCCTATGAATTTATTTGTTGTTTTCACTGTATATGTAAACAGTGTATTTACCAAATTTCAGTAAATGGGGAGATCTGCTGACAATTTACTTTGACAATTCACTTTGACAATTCACAATTTGTAGAGCATAACTGCTTGCTAAATCATGTGAGTTTGCTTTTGCTCTCTGAACATTCATATTTTTTAAAATGTGGAAAGTACAAATAATGTTTAGCAAGTAAAAAGAAAAAAAAATAAAACTCTTTAGATGATTTGTGATTCTCTTCTTCCTCTCATATTCATGCAACAAAAGCTGTTTGAGTAAACATTCAGAAATACTAAAATGGAAGGGGCATAGGCTGACAGGAAGAATGGCTTTTCAATTGGTTACTTAAAAGTCTTCCATTAGGTGTCAGCTGCTTACATTTCCAAACATTATATCCCACAATAATGAATAAAAGACTTCCTAATAAAAGGAAGGCTTTTTAGTATGAACATTATGAGTGCCTACTCAAGACTAAGGTTAATTTTGTGCCTTGCATGAGCACTTTGGCTTGCAGATAGAGAGTTTGATTTAGGAATGGGTCACACTCCACAGACATGAAATATCCATCTGTTGTGTGAACAGTCATACTCTAGAGTGAATGGAATTTCTCAGATCAGAAGAAAGTAACTGAGTATTTTGTGATACCCGATCTCTTCCCCACCTGTGGAAACCTATTGAAGCAGCTCTACTTCTAAGGCATTTGTCAGAATGTTAATTGGAAAAATGACTTCATTGTGTGAGTCATACAGTCACCTCTGTGGACCTCATTAGGTTTAAATGAGCAGACTGAAGGCCAGAGCAATCATTCTGAGCACAGCCATATGTTGGTGAAGAAACTCTCTCAGAAACAGGCTCGTGGCCAACTATAGGGACTTACAAATGACTAGATGGAAGATGGAAGTCTTGGTGGCAGGAAACACACTGGAAACACTGACATACGTAGCATGTTCCCTTTCACAACAAAGGACAATTAAAAATATATATTTTAAGATAGCAGATTCACTACCTGGTAGGTTTTTAAATAGCTTGCAGCTTTTGAGTTGGGACAATGATATTTTTAGGTGGCTTGTGTGTAGGTGTGGGCTTCTTTGCAGGACACTCCATAGCTCTGGTTTGAAGACCCGTGGGACGCAAAACATTTTGGTGGGAAGTGAAGTCATTCCTGTCTTACTTCAAAATTAGCAAGGACAATCAAAATGAACAATTGGTTGAGTCTGTGACTTTCTGTGATATTATAAACTGTATTTATGGAGCTGCTTTTTACCAACATTTGAGAATTAAGTAAATCTGGATGAGAGTTCAGTAGAAAATCAAAACAACTCTGTCCCTCTCAGCAGCTAAGTAATCTCCAGCAGCAGAAGTAGTTCAAAGAGAATAACATATTCTACCATTCTTTTTTTTTTTTTTTTAACCTGAAAGTTTCTGCTATTAGGTTATTCAGACTCAGAAGTGCTGAGAAAAACATTATTGGAAGATATAGTAAAAAAATCTTATCAGAACAAGTAAATGGAAGGAACATGGGATAGCTATCTTCTTCTTATGTCATCTAAATATAAGTTTGCAATGAGGCTTAAGTTGACTTACAAAGCTTGATTAGCAAACAGGGAATTAAAATCTGTGTACTTTTTCAGAGGATAACAGTAATTAATGTAGTCATTAATATATATTGAATACCCTCCCCCAAAACGAAACTATTGAAGTACAAGACTTTTGCGATTACAGATATTTCTTACCTTAAATATATCTATTCTGAAGCTATAGATTAAGGTACTTCTGGGACTGTAAAACTCTTGATAGTCTGACCTTTATGCAATTTATGTAAAATACTTGTATATGTCCGAACTTCTAAAAAGTGCACATTTTGCTTCCTTTTCTCAGTTGTTGTGCACAGCCCCTTTTCTATCTGAGCTTAAAATAAACAAGAATGAAGAAAACATTTAAAAAAACTGACAGCTCACTACAACTAAGCAGAAATAAAATAAGAAGCTTTTAAAAGCCAACAACCTACCCAAAAAAAGACTGAAAATCTTGACATTGTCATCATCACTTGAGAAACTGAAAACTGAATTGTATCTACTCAACTCCACGTTCTTACATGATGAAAGATAAATCTAAGATATGGCCTTGAGGCATCAAGCCCTCCCAAACTCTGCTCATGCAAGTTAGGTTCTTCTGAAAGGTATATTCTTATTACACTTAGTGTCATAATTGGAAACACAGAGATGAACAGCATTTCACAAAAAATGGCCGTAAAATTGCATGCTCCCATAAAAGAAGACACCAAGTCAGAACTTGTTTGTAGCAAAAAAAGAGGATAAAAACTAGGAATCAAAATACTTTCACCATTGTGAAAGCCCTCACATCCAAGAAACACATGATCCTTTTCCCAAGTACTCACCCAAGAGACAAAAAATATGCCCCTAAAGCACAGAACTTAATTTATAACACATGCAGTAAGCTGGGTATCTGCATCAAAACACCTAAAATTTAGAGGTTCCTACTCTGGATTCATTAAGAGATTTGGGATTCACAGGGCTCACCTAGTCCTTATTTTATTAAAGTTCTATTCAGAAATTTTCAGCATCTATGAATTTACATATCACTTTTAAGGATATTTCCTGTGGTTGGATGTAGATGTAGATACTGCTATGTCACCAATATGACTAATCACTATTACCCAGGCAGGTACATCTTTCTAGTCATATTCATCTTTAAAGAAGTATCACAATCAAATCTTCAAAGCAAAAACTTGTCATCTGAAAATTCTTTCTTTCTTTCTTTGAAGTCCCTTTGCACTTAGAGGTACTTTCTACGGAATATAATCTGGCATGCCCAGCTGCTTTCACTCTGAATGTTTTCAATTCTGAGCTTTTTCTAGAAAGCCAAGCAAGGAGCAAACAGCACTGAAGTTTATGTGAACCAATTATTCTCTATGTCAGCACTACAATATTACAATGGTATAATTCACTTAACCACAGCCTGTGCAATCCCTGTGGATAAACAAACTCTTAGTCCTTGGTGCACCCATAAATCCCTTTTCCTCCTCCCAGTGTCTAACTTAATGTTCATCCTTAAATTATTAACTCCCGGAACAATGTCTTCTTCTTTGAAAATAATAAAACTATCTGCCAATTGTTGTTACCATGCAAAAAATTAATTTTTCACAATCATATTAAAGAAAAATGTAAATAACTACATGGTAAAATTCTGCTATTATTAATTAAAGACTTTGATTCAAAAACATCGCTGTCTTATCTAGAAATGAATATCCATATTTAATTTTAATATTTAATTATTCCTTTCAGTAATCAGCAGAATTCATAGAAAAAAACTTACTTGATTGTCTACACACAATTGATTACTGGTATGGATTGTAATTTATTTAGTTCCATAAAATGGAACTGTGGTTTGAGCATTTTAAAACACAGGTTCATGTATGTTCAATATTTTGTTCAGTTACACTATTTGCCAATATTTCCTCCAATTACAATAACACATTCCAACTGCCTTTTCATAAAGCCATCTTTCTCATTTATCTTTTTTGTCCGCTTGGCAAGAAATATCCATAATGATGACTTTTTTCCTAACCTTGTATTATCAGACAGGATAAAAAGCAACATCAAACACCTGCTTCTCTGAGGTACGGCTTAAAGTTATTTGTTCCTCAGCCCAGGCCACAGATGACAATGCAGAATGTACTTTTCAGTTTATCGATTAGACTGCTGGGAAGTTTGCATTTTTCTGAATCAGCCTCTGCTCAGTGCACTGCCTCTATGCTTCCAGCTGTCTATACTTCCAACACTCCATTCTATTTTGAACACTTTGTTGTTCAAAACTCATGAACTATATGAAAGTCTCCATTCCATGGAGCAATAAGGCTTCCCACAAAGTGGATCAACTGTTAGAGACCAGCCTTTTCAAATATTTGGGCAAGTCTTGCACTGCATCAGATACAGGGAACAATACACATATGCAAGAGTGAACTCTTGTCTCTGATTGGAGGTTTTTCCCAGCCTGACCACCGTTTCTACCAAATTTAAACAAATAAGGAAATGGAATGTAAGAAGCTAGAAAGACCCACGCCATTGAGAAAATTAAACAGTTCTTCCTGAACTGCTAATTTTTTTCATCTAACATATGCTATTTTAATTCATTATTAGTTATGCTGCTAAATTAACTGGAAATATATAATTACACTTTAACAACTCTATTGTAAATGCAAAGTACATCCTTAACTGGAAACTTACAAAAGATGCTTACATAATGCAATACTGACATAGGTTATAGACTTCTTGTGTATTTCAAGGGTTTGTAATGTTTATAAATATCTGCAAATTAAGAATTGATAAAATAAGACTTTTATAAATAAAATGTAATTATTTTTCAATGTTTCCCAGATCATACTATATGCCAAATAAAGTTCTTCTGCATAACCTTGGCCACATGTTTCAAGTTTAATAGAGTTAATTTTCCCCACTCAGTAACTATTTTGAGTCTAGTAGTGCAACCTACTTAACTAATGGTGAATTTCTTCCTGGCACACCAATACTACTACTAGTACTGATGTATATTTTTCTTCTTCTCTGTCTGCCTACAGAAGAGCTATACAGCACACATGCAAATTAATCTGTGGGAGATAATCCCAGTCCCTCAATTCACCCATTTTAACATCAGGAAATAAGGAAGTTGAGTACTGAAAGCTCTGTAGCTCAAGGGCTTACAGAGCTTTGCCACAAAACAGATTTTTCTGCATGTATTGTTCAACTGTTATTTTTGACTAATTTTTTTTTTGTTAAGTTTAATTACATAATAATAGTTATATTTACATATCAGTATAGATTTCAAAACTCCTGGAAAACACTTGGCATACTTACTAAAAAGTGGTTTGCAACATTCCCTTTCTCTATTTTATTGTTTCTACACTACAGAAGTGCACGAAATCCACATCCATTTCCTTTGCTAGTGTCAGCTGGTGCGCATCCAGGCCTGCGGTGGAGGCGGTTTGGTCTCATTCCCAACTGGCTGCTAAAACTTGCTCCTTGCAGCTCCCCTCAGGAGAAGCTCACTGCTTCTCCTGGCTGCTGTGCCCTTCCTGAGGGCTGCAGTGGCAATTCCCAGCTCTGGGCATAGCTCTCAGCTAAGCCAAGCCAGCACCCAAGCCTGGCCCCTGGTGCAGTGCACTGGCCCCCATCATCCCCCCGCAAAGGAAGCTGCCGGTATTTCCTTGGCAGAGCAAGGCTTGGCGAGCTCCGTGCTCTGGAGCTGCAGCACGGGGCTGCCGCTGGCCTTATCAGGCTGTGAAATTCCACGGAAACCAAGGGGATTGCTTCTGTCAAGAGGAAAGCATGCAGAAGGGCTGTCAGGATTGGGATCTTACGTACTGCTCATGAGTGGAAGAAGGAAAATGGAAATCTTTTCAATGAGCCTGTTTGCTTTGTAATATAAAACCATGTAATGAAAGAACATTCACATGATTGTAATTTTCTCATGTTTTATACTTCAGTCATATTTTTCATAGCAGTTTCTCAGATTTATCCATTTCAATTTTTTATGTTATTTCTTTTTTTTGCCTTTGTTGTTGCCTGTTTATTATTGGCATATATTTTTAGTATTTTTCCTTTGGATTTTTTTTTAATTGACAGGATTTCATCTCTGTTTGTTAAAGAGAACCAGCTGTTTTCTTCAAAGATAATTTTCTGAAGCTGTCGTATGCCATAATTACACTGCAATTACACAGCAATATCCATAAAAGCAGATGAGGGTTCTATGTGTCCTTCTGACTCATTAGAAGTTGCAAAAATGATGAATGCAGTCTTTCCTAACTTGACTATTGCCCTCTGTTGGCAGACCCAAGTCCTGTCCTATCAAGAAAGAACTAAGGCGAGGAATAACGCATCCTGTGAAAGGAGATCAATTTCAGTTTTAGTAATGGGAACACTGGGATAATGTTGAAGCTGGAAAGTATTTTCTAGGTGCATTTTATGGAGAACACTTTGAGGGATTTTTTAGTGTTTGCAATAAATCAGTGTTATATACATTTTGCACGCTTTCTGATAAATTATTTCTTTTCTCATACAGTTAAATTACTTGAACACTTACTCTCTTTGCAGTTCAGTCTCACGTTCATGTAATTTCCTTGCAAAATCCTTCAAACAATTTATTGTTTTGAAAGATATAGTCAAATTATATCGAGTTTTGCTTGTTAAGATGTTCTGACATGAATAAATTGAAAGAAGTCAAAAGATGCTCATATGGCTTTGGAATACCTTAGATCTTTATGTTCTGGCTGTGAAGAAGAAAAAAAAAAATCAGAGAGATGCTGTTTTAACTGAAATCAAAGCAGACCAAACCTAACTCCTTCTGAATCAACAGACCAAAAATATTTTCATTCTGGAATGAGTTCTCAAGTAATTAAGATGACAAAAGAGAGCAATCAGGTTGGGGAGGGTGAGATGGTGAGATTTTGGGGAGATGTGGGAGGAGAAGGGTTTACTTGGTTATTTTTGCATTAAATATTGAATCAGGTGAGCTATTTAGTTTTGTTCATTCATTTCTGGTTAGGGTTTATCATGATCACTTCTTAAGATCCTTCATGATGAGCCTAAGCTAAGGGATAGGGTCAGTGGGCTGCTGGCACTGATTTTCAATGGACTCTTGTGCACTCCTGTCAGAGCAGCCACTGAAGTCTTGATGTGCAAAAGACCGTGGCTAGGGCAGAACTTCAGAAAACAAATTCATTTCATTTAAATCCTGCAAAATTTAATGAGAACTGAAATTCAAGAGAGACCTATCAGCACATAGATTTCTCCTGGCTCTGCTAGATCCTGATACAGTTTCAAAACATTTACTTTGGTACAGGCAACAGGGAGTATTCTGGTTCTGTAGTCAACTGCTCCACTAAAGAATACAAGGTGATTATTAGTCCTCTAGTGACTTT